TAGATTACCTGGATCCCCTTGGAAGCAGCAGACAAAGGCAAGGGAGACACTCAGTACAGCTTGGAGTGGTGTCAGCACCCCCCTCTCATGCATAGCTGCCCCAGATGCAGGCGTCCTGCACGGCACATACATGCTTTGCGGCATGCCGGCACAGGCGGACACAGACATGATGGGGTGTACCCATCTACACATCCAGAAAGCCCCTTCCAGGGCGGGCATCTCAGGCAAGCTCTGCACTAACGTGCCTACAGACTGCCCGGCCTTGGCTCCCTGGAGAGGGTCTTTGTCAGAAGGCAACAGCCTGGGCCTGGACAGACATCCTGCAGGGGGTGTGGATTCCCAGTCAAGGCTGGCTCCTTGCTAATGGAGGCAAATGATCGGAGTGCTTCTTGCCTGCTTGTGTGTCCCCGAGTGTGTCCCCGCACATGTGCGCGCGCGTTTGCATGTGTGCGCGCGTTTGCATGTGTGTGTGTGCCCCTGTGCGTGTCCTTGAGTGTGTGTTCTTGCATGTGTGTATGCACGTGCCCTTGCGTGTTTGCAGTCTGGCACGTGTGTGCATGTCCTGGCATGTGTCCTTGCGTGCGTGTGCATGTGTGTGTGGCCTGGCATGTGTGTGTACATGTATGTCCTTGCACATGTGTGCATGTGGTGGCCTGACGCGTGTATGTGTGTGTACATGTGTGTGTGGCTTGGGATGTGTGTGCATGCATGCGAGCACTTGGGGAAAGAGAACAGGGGCCTTTATTGTCTCAGAAACTCTCAACCCAGTGGGCTATGTGGTGCCACGTGATAATGGGCTGCAGGGCATCACAGTCACCGTGGAAGATAGAGGAGCTTCATCTCCATAGAAACACCACCCCGGCTGATGTCACTGCCGCCAAATGGGGCACATTGGGGGGCGGGCTTTCGTCATGAGACACTTCCTTCACATTAATTATTGCTCCCGGGACATCTGCTCTCTCTTCTCTCAGTGGCTTTCACCCAAAATCTGCGGGCCTCTTTTACCTTCGGATGTGGAGGATGGGACAGGGGCAAGCCAGGGTCTGATGGGAGGTCAGGGGGCACACTAGACTTCCTGCAGGACCATACGGCATCGTGTGGGAGACTAAGCACGGGGCTCCGTTTCCAGGCACACACAGGCTGTATAATACGGGGTATTATACCAAAGGCTGTATCCTATGGGGGTATTACACGGTGCGTGTCGGTAGGGTATGCACACACGCATGGGCACGAGGTACGTCTATATACATGAGGCTGTAGATAGACACACACAGAGCTCGTAGGATGCTTTTCTCGTTTTTTCCACCTGGAAAAAGTAAAGCCACCCCTGAGCAATTCCGTACGTTCACAAGCACACGTTTGGCGGCTGCATTGCTCCGGAAGGGGAAAGGAGCGGGGCAGAAGGAAGGGACCTGCACTGCGGTGAATTCAGCGATGGCCAGGGCCCCGGTGTGTGCCGCCGTGTATTCTGCATGATGCTTGCTGCCCGTGGGCACCGAACCCCGGGCGCCCCCCGGTGCATACTTACTTGACAATTCCCTGCCTCCAAAGGAAAGCAAGTTAAAACACAACACAAGTATTAAAGGCTTCTTTTCATGCGCTGTGAACAGCGCTCGCAGCCTCAGACGTGGGAATAGCTGCCCAAAACATCAAACTCAGCCACGCTCAGGAGGGAGGCTTCCGCGGTTTTCGCCGCATCCAAATCCACCCGGATTCAGATGCCATCGGAAATGAGTCTGAAAAGTCCCGCCGAGGTGGGAACGAGCGCCAGGCCTGGGGACACCGTCTCCGTTTTCAGACCAGTCTAGCTGGTTGTGCCTAGTTGGCACATGACGGGAGGGGGGGCGCCACTGAGGGTTGGCAAGGAGCCCCTGAAGGCTGAGAGCTGGGGGCTGCAGGATTGGGGACAGGATAGTGGGAGAAGCAGGGACACAGGGACTTCTTGGGGGCAAGACCAATGGGCAGGAGGCTGCAGGAGAGCCCAGGAGTGGGGCATCAGGAGAGAGGGGGGCTGGCAGGCATGAGACCAGGAGAAGTTCTGCCGGAGAAGGTGCAGGAGGAAACCCGAGGAGGGGCCCTGGACTCAAGCATGTGGCTCGGTGTTGAGTCACGGGGCAGCCCTGCTCCTGCTCTGGGGCTGGAGGCTGCTAACGACCCCGCCCCCGCCCCCCGCCCAGTGAGCCCTGTCCCTCTGAACAGAACAGCCAGGACCTTCTGTAGGCAGGACCAAACTGCTGCCAGCCTACTCTCCAGCCTCCGGGTGAAGTGTTTCCAGGACACAGGCTCTCACCTCCCAGACCAGTGCCCGGGCTTTTGCCCCTCCTATCCCTCCCGGAGATGCTGGCTGGCAGAGGCAGGTGGAGCAGTGCATAGGGTGACCGGAGCGGCACAGGAGAGGGTTCAGAGCCAAGGCTTCTGGGTGATGGAGGAGGATGTTGAAAGTCAGTCACAAGCCAAGGAGATACAACACGAGAGGCGGCGCGACTGTGTGTGTGTGTGTGTGTGTGTGTCCCCAGAAAGAAAGCCTGCAATAGAAAGCCCTCTGCACAATCTTGATACAGAGTGGGCTGGCTGTGGGGAGACTCAGCTCCACTTAGCCAAGACATGCGAGCCTGAAGCAGCTCCAGTTTGCGCAGTCAGACGATGTTTAAAATGCCCTTGCCCGGCTCCCCACTTGTGCCAGAAGCTGCTCTGAGCCCCCAACCTTCCTCGGGAAAGGCAGTGGCCCTGGGCCCTGGTTTTAGGTGGGAACCAGTCCACGACCTGAAGCCTGTTTCAAAATCGTCTACGAACAAGACAGACGCCACCAGGGAAGGGCTCTGGGCTGTGGAACCTGCCTGGCCCGGACAGAACACCGTTCCTGCACTTGTGTGTTCCTCTGGGTTCAAACACCTTGACTTTCATCTGATTTCCAAAGGACAGGCTTTAAAGAGGGAGAGAGATTCGGACGATTGCTCTAGACAAGATCCACGTTTAGGACCAGTCTCCAAAGCCCTGGGTACTCTGCCCCCAACGGAAGGGCGCTGGATTCTATTCAAGTTGCTACGGTGTCTCCCGGGAGCATCCCCGGAGCTACTCGGTGGCAGAGTGGAGTTGAGGGCAGGAGAGGCAGGCAGGAGAACCCGCACAAAGAAACCCGCCGTCCTGAACTCGTTTCACAGTGGAGGTGGGTCCAGAGTTGGCCATCTGAGGGGAGGATCGAGGCCCGGAGGATGGGGTGGGGGCACTGGGAGGGCATGTGGGCAAGGAGTGGAGAAGCTGCTGCAGTTCTCCAAGGACGAGCGGGGAAGGCTGAGCGCTGCCTGTGGATGTGGAGCAGCTCATGGGAGTTGGGACTGACTGCAGGAGGGTTGCAGGAGGACATGCAGTCCGAGCTAACACCACGTGGCACCATGGCCCAAGGAGAAGACTCACAGGAAGATGGGCGTCTAGTTTGGGCACAATAAGATGTGGACACCTGTGGGATGGCTTCATGGTTGGGGGGTCCACCTGGGAGGCAGGGGGTGAACGCGGGGGAGATTATCAGGCGATGGGTGGGATGTGCGCTTGATCAGAAACCGGGTGTGGGGTGGAAATGAGGAAAGGAAAGTGAAATCCTAAGGACCGAGCGGCTGGGGGAGGACGCAGAGGTGGGACACAGAGAAGGAATACTTGGGGGAACGGGAGGCAGACCCTAGGAGCTTGTCTCAAAAAAGCGAGGGAGAGGAGAGCTACGCTATCTAACAGGGCAGCCACCGGCCGTGCACCGCTGGTGTTTGAGACGTGGCCGCTCCAAATTCAGATGTGCTGTCACTGTAA